AATTAATGTATTTTTTTTTTTAACTTGTTATGACATTTTCCTCCCTAAAATGTAAGCTTCAAGAGGGCAGGGACTTTTTCTGTCTTGTTCATCACTTCTGAGTTAGAACAGCTATTGGCATAAAGTGGGTGCTCAAGAAATAATGGTTAGAGTTTGAATGCACGAAGACTCTAAGTCAATGTCTCAAGCTGCTTTTTGTGTGTCATTTAATTCCTCTTTTAGTAAATGCTTGTTTTGCTTATTAATCTATTAAGTTACATTGAATCTCCCACTAGACTATGTAACATAAAATGTATGATGGAGGAAGACAAACTTGAAATACTATGTAGCATTTGGGCTTCACATAGCTCATCATTCAATAATGTTTTAAAATATGAACCATAAAAATGAGAATTAGAAATGGCATAAATTAAGTGAAATATTGATATAGAAAAAGGTTGCTTTCATTTAAAAATATATTTCATTGGGTATTTATTTCTAATAACATTGCATGATGTTTCACAATATAAATTATCCATCATTTTTTTTATAAGAAAAAAAAATCTCCCTCCTGCTTAATTAAAAACAGAGTACAGCAAAACACTAAAGGGTTTTCTAATCATTGAATAAAGATTAAATTATGTCCAGTATTCTTTTAGTGTTCATGTCTTTTAGCCTGACTCTTTGAAAAATTGCTATCTGTTTTGATAAAAAGTAAAATTATTTTTTTGTCGTCTTTATTCCTCAGAAGTAGAATGCCACCACATATTTTCACAAGCAATTCTCTGGTTTTAGATAAGGATATTTAGAATGCTAAGACAATTTAACATTTTTAAAATAATGTATAAAGTATGTTATTTTCCTGAAATTGACTTGATTTAAAAATTTGCTTGAAAAGTTTCTTCAAAAATGACAGTTTTAGTTTTGCATGTGGTAATTGTCAAGACTCTTAAATCATAAAACCAGAATGTAAATAGAATTTCCTTAGGCCAAAGTGTGGTATTTATTAGTTTAGATGTGCAGATATGCTAGTGAGACACCCGGCCTTAAAAGTGGCTGCAAAATAGGTCTTTCTCCATCTCATGTGTTTGTCTACTTTCCTCTGTCTCTGCTTTGTTTTTTCCCAGTGTAGTAAGCTTTGGGTAGGAAAGTGCGGAGTCAGTGATCACCAGCAGCTCTGAACACACTTCATTCCAGTTTAGCGACCAGCAAGAAAAAAAAGAGCTTTTACTTTCCCAGTTCCAGTGAAGGATTTTGTTAGGAGCAGAGTACCCATTTCCTGTGATGAGTGTCGGTGGGGATGCTTTCTCATCTTTTGGGGCAAGAAGGTAGAGTCTGCTGTCAGTGGACAGAGAAAGGAGAAGAGGATAGTGTTTGGCTGCTCAGAGAAAAAAACGAAAACCTACCTCTGCTTACCATAATATATCTCCTCTATCTGTGGTCAGCCCTCCCCAGTCAGAGGCTGCTCCACCAGCATTTGATGGCATGATTCTCTCAATGTCCTGAGCAATTCTCTGGATGATATTTATTTCTCTTCATCAAGCCCAATCATAGTGTGCCTCATGATTCTCAGCAACCTACAGCGCGAACAATTATTTTAACTAACCCTGGCACAGTCAATATAAATTTCAAGCAAAAATAGCTCTGTTAAAATTAGAAGTGCCATGTAGAAGAGAGAAACAGCATTAGTCCCTAGTTGAGAACATATATCATATCCTGCTGTCAAGGCTGGTAAACCTTTCTTCCCTGGTGTGGATTTATTTGGTCAACCCATCTGCCTGGCTCGAACCAGCCCATCAGAAAGGTCTTTCTTGTCCTCCATGGAACCCTGAGAGGGGAGTTGGAGAGAGGATGTACACGCTGCTGTGACTGTGCAGACTGAGCAGCCACTGCATATTTGCACGGAAATGTGGATTGGGGGATTGTTTTGTCATGCTGGGAGGTGGGGTTTTTTGTGGTTGTTGTTGTTACTGTTTTGTTTTAACATATAAAATTTTCTAAAAACCTATGCCTGTTGCTTATCAGTTTCACCACAGGGTAACTAGTATCTAATGGCTAAAATCTTTTTCTTTTTTTTCTTCAGTCTGTGTCTTTGTATCTGTCTCTCCCCTTGAAGTTCTAACAACAAGCCTAGGGGCTCTGCCCATTCCCTAAACCCTTAGATTAACAGACTGTTGTTTGTTTTTTACCTGACCTCTGCCTTGAGGCCACTGAAGACAATAGAATGCTTTCACCTGTCCCCAGGCATCATCCCAGTTGATTTTTCCTTCAGTTGATTTTTCCTTTCAAATAAGGTCCTTAATATCTTTTTTTTTTTTTTTTTTTTTTTTTTTTTTAATGCAGGGGATGCCTACACCAAGAGGTCTAGTCCCAGAAGATCTAGTGTCCCCTTTGATATTTCTCCCTGATCTTTTTTCTAACTGGAGAATGGGGAATAGCATTCCTGAGCTCTTACATCACTTGGAAAAGGCAGAAAGCATCTCTTTTTTTTTTTTTTTTTTTTTTTTTTTT